GATTATCATTTATTCTGATTAGGAAATATTGAGCTAATTTGCATAATTTCATCAGAATTTTAGTTTTACCAAGATAAGAGAAAGGGAGAGAAAAAAGCGAAAGAGAAAAGGGAACTTTGTTTTTTTGATTTTGCTTTTTTTTTGCTTAAAAGAAAAAATTCTAATCAAAGATTAGCTAGTTTAAAATAATGAATAAACTATTATAAGAATAGTAAATGCATGAAAAAAGAAACAAAAACGAAATTTTATAAATCATTGAATCGTAAAATCAATGATTAAATTAATTTTTAATCTTTAAATTTTGATCAAATGATTAATCTTAAAAGATAAAAAAGTGCAAATTATTATTAACAATGCCATATTACATTAGATAATTTTGTTTTTTTTCTGTTTAAAAAGAAAAAATTCTTATCATCTATCAGTTCATTTAATAAGAATGGGTGAAAAAAAAAAAGAATTGAATGAAGCAATATGAAATTAGTGAGCAATTATGTTTAAAATTAAGTTAATTAATTGTATTTAAAAATAAATCAATTAGTTAATCATTCAAAAATAAGTTGTATTTAACAATAAGCTTATTTATGGATGAGTTTAATTGGTAAAAATGAGTTAATTTTTTACAAAAAAAAAAAACTTAAGTTACAACGATGATTAATTATCATAATTTTATGCTAATTAAGAACGCATCATGCGACAATTGGATATTGCTGGTGAACATGTAACAGAAGATGAAGTTAATACAATGATTGATTCTAAATCATCGGAAATTTTCAACAGGTTAATTTATTTTAATGTAAAATATTGGAAATGATTATAAAAATGAAGTAAAAATTAGCAAAATTTTATTAATAAGTTATTAAATTACGGTAAAATTAACGAAATAATTCTATCAAACAAAAAATAAATGATAAGATTGTTGTGATTAAGGATAAAAAGTTTAAGATGGAATAATTAAGATGATCGCTTAGAAGTATTTTCATTGATAATTTCATTGATAAGAATTATAATAAAAGGTACAAAAAAAAAATTTTAAAAATAATTTTTAAAAATAAAATTAATTCAAATAATATAATGAATGTAATTTTCAGGCATGTACGTTCCTCACAATTAAAATCAGCATTTGCTGATGCAAGTTTAAGACATAATGAAATATTAAATTTAGAAGCAAGTATTAAAGAACTTAATGATTTATATAATGATATGAATTTTCTCATACATATACAGGTAAAATTAATTAATCAATATTTCAAATAATATTATAATAGTTATTTGTATTTTATTGATAAATTGATTCAATAAATTTTATTATCACCTAACAGTTACCATAATCTTATCATTTTAATAATCTATTAACAAGAGACAAAAATGAATAATATAAGTTGAAAAAAAAAATATGATATTTTTTGGTTAAGATAGTTTCAATTGATTTGTTCTTATCATCTGATTATTAATTTATTGTTATAAGAGGTGAAAGGTCATT